GGCTTGGCGGGGGCAGGTCGGGGGCGCTTGACGCCGCCATCTTTAAAATCTGTGCTGGCACACTCCGCCAAAATGCGCTCGCGGGAAGCTGTGAGCGGAGTGTATTCGGTAAAACGCCCAGAGGGTCCTCTTTGCTCTCAGACTTCTCGGGGTCTGTCCTCTTTTCTTTTCTCCCCGTCCCGTCGAGGAGGGGCGGCTTCCTGGCGTGGGTTGCTGATGGATCCGCGAGTTCTGGTATCCCGGGCTCTGTTGGCCGCCTCCCTTTCCTCGTAGTCCATGTATGCCCGGGCTTTTTCGAGGAGGGCATCGAACGTTCGGGGCGGCTCGATGCCTACTGCCTTTCTGAATTTTGTGTCAGGGATGAGCCCATCTCCAGCAAATACCTTTTCATGTGGTCCGCGCAGGGGACCTGTATGGCCTCGCGATTGAAGCGATTAATAAACTCTCTCAAGGTTTCATCATGTCTCTGGATGATGGCCTCGAGAGTCGCCCCGGTCTTTGGGTGTCGCCGAGACGCAGTGAACGAACTTATGAATTGGTTCTTCAGGTTTCGCCACGAGGTGATTGATCCCGGAGTGAGGCCTTTATACCAATCCATTGCTGCCTTTCTGAGGGTCGTAGAGAACAGTCGGCATTTGATGGGTCCCCCCGACATTGTGGCAGTGCAGCATAGCCTCGAACCCGTCTATGCGATCGACTGGGTCCGCGACTCTGTCGTATTCCTTCAGATGTGGAGGCTTCTCCATGCACGGGGGAATGGGCGCTTCCATGATGGCTTGTGACAGGGGACCGCGGGGGTCGTCCTCGTCACTTCGCTCCGGGGACAGAGATGGGGACCTGTAATATTGTCGAGCGCGACGGTCCTGGTCGGGCTAGGCATCCCTCGAGCGTGGTGCTCGTTGGTTGATTCTTCTGTGCCCGTCTCCAGAGTGTCTTCTTTCTTGCCGTATGGGGGCGTGGCCGCGTCCCCTAACTTCAATGACGGGTTGCCTCTCCAAAGGGGATCGTCTCCCCAAGGGTCGGGGTGACAGGCTCTGGGAGGTGTCTCTGTAGTGTCTCCGCGGGGGAGACGGGAGATGTACCTCTGTCACTCTAGGAGGTGGAGTCTGGCCTCTTGTGTCTCCTGGCGGGCCTTCGATCGTCTTCTAGTGCCCTCAATCTTTCCCCCTGGGCGAAGATGAGGTAATTCGTCTGATTGATCGTTGTGAATAGTGCGCGGGTTGTGACATCTGCCCCGGCGGGGACAGGGGCTTCCTGAAATTGGGCAGCTCGATGGCTTGTGGGAGCTGCGTTGTCTTTTTCGAGCGGCGGAGGGACTGAAGAGGATGATGCAGTAACTCCGTCGCGGTGGACTGAGGGCCCGGGGTTGGAGCCCCCGGGGAGTGTGTTATGACCGGGGTTACCGGTGTTGTCGGGGAGTCCATTTTTATCTACGAGGTCGTTGTTGATGTCGACGAGCGGACGTTTTGGTCATCCCGAACTTGGTCAGCCATGATGGTAGGAAGTGATATTGAGCTTTGGTCTTCGAGGTTTTGCAAGACGGGGAAGTTAGCTTCCCACAGACGGCGCCACTGATCTTACCTGATCAGACTTAGACCGTCACGATTGGCTCCGAGCAGAGGTTGAGTGAGATGGGGGGGTTACCTGCAAGGCACTCCGATGCTAAAGTGAGTGATGGTACGAGCAGGCAAAAAGTGTATGTATGGGTAAGAGAATGAATACCTGACCCTCTAAGAACAGAGGGTATTTATAACCCCCAGCGCGGGGCCAAGGTCCCTTTATTAGGCCGACCAGAACTGGCCCAATAAAGGAACTGTCAGGTTCTACGTGTGTAGTGGGGACCCGCACGTGGTCTCCTTCCTGGTGATGCTCTGCGAGAAATGAGGAGGGACGAAGACGCGGTCTTTCCAAAGTTTAGGTGACTTGGTAACGTTCAGAGTCTGCCCTACGAGGACGGTGCTCGAGTTGGGCTCGAGCTGGAGTTCCCCGTGGGCGAGGACACCATGTTTGCGGGCACGGCTGCCATTCTGGTCGGGCGCGTTGGCGGGAATCTTCGGGCGCGCGTTCCTCGAAGAGTTGCTTGAATTGCGCCTTCGTTCTTGCTTTTGGGCCAGGGCGGGCCCAATCCAGAACAGTTTTAATCAATTTACTATAATTATTTTTACTTTCAAATTTTTTTATTTAATATAAATTATAATCATTGCAATTATTTTGTTTTTTTTATATTTTTATTTATTTATATTAAGTTTTTTCTAATATATATATATATATATATATATATATATATATATAATTTTATGTGTTAAAAATTGTTGTTGACACATAGTTTATGTTGTGTCAGAAAGTTATAATATGAATCAAGCTTACTTGTTTTTTTAACATTATGAAATAAGTTATGACTTTTCAATCCCTCAATATTACACATTTTAGTTTCAAAAAAATATGTATGAATTTTTCACTTTTGAATATTATATCACTTATATAAAATTATAATTATAAGGATAAAAATGTAAATTGCTATTTTTAATCAAAATCTCTCACTTCCCCTCCCCTCATTTGAACCAAACACATATATAATTAACAAAAATCCCTCCTCTCCCCTCCCCCATTAAAAACCGTCCCTCTCATTAAAACCAAACATACCCTAAAAAATTCAGTAAAAAGGGTCAACACCTGATCGCCATAGCCATCAAGATCCATGTCAATACTGATTTTCATCACTAATCAGCATATACTGCCGAGCAAATTTCGCAACAATATTGAAGACAGATCAGTAAGAAATAAGTACCTTTTGGAAATGACGTATCACCCACGGATGAATGTTGTCGGTTACCATTTGATTAATCACCTTAAATATAATCATTAATCAAAACTGTCAAACCATATCACACATTAGAACATTAAAATCAAAACACTCAAACAGATAAAATGATATTAAGAGTACATACTTTACTATTCAATTTTATATCGATTTAATGTCGTCCTCTAACATCATCATCTCTAGTAATCTTATTAATAAAAGAGCTATTGCCAACATTCGGATAATCACAAATCAAATTCGTCCTCGTATTCTGATCAATTGAAGGAGGCTTAGCCATATGATGTCTAACCTGTTCCAAATAAACCAATTGAAAACAATAGTTATTATTATAACTATGACGATAATTAAAAATGCAGGAGTATTAAAATGTTGTACTCTGGCAGTGCTACATATAGTTACATGTCAGTGTCACTATAAACTGATTTCAAACCAGACTCCTGTAGTAAACCTGACCAAAATCGACTCACCAAGCATCACATCGACAGATTACAAATTCCCAGACAAGCATCACATTAACTGTGAGAAACACCAAAACTTACCTAGGAGCCCATGTTGAGAATTAAATGATCCAATTTGGAAGAACTGCCTTTGGAGCAACAATCAAGTGGGGACCAGTCCCACCTTTGTATTCCAAAAGATGTGTTATGAGAAAAATAGTTTGTATTGTTTTCCCAAGCTCCATTTCATCAGTCAAAATCCCATTTAAGTTGTTATTTAACAAAGAAATCATCCATTGCAGCCCCTCTATCTGATATGATCTTAATTCTGCACCTTGAAGTATAGACAATTGTTCAGTTACATGTAAACAATTAAGTTTGTTTCCAATGAAATACATCGTATTCTACAGAAAAACAATATGCAATACACCAAAATATAAGCAAGGACTTAAATCCCAAACTGCTGTAATGGCAAACATCTAATCAAGAAATAAATTGTGTAAACAAACCTGCATGATAGCCTTTCTAATTTCTTCAGGATAGACTTTCTGAGAAGCATTTTATCGAACAGGTGGAGGATCATCGTCCCCCAGCCTGTTTTGGCTGGGATGGAGGTATCCTTATGCCAATTAACTCTCTGTAGAGGATGGATTCTTCCTTCATCTTCTTACAGATTCTCTTTCGTTGATCTATAGTGAGTTTCTCCGTCTCAGAAACGTGTTCTTCTTTGCAACTTGTTGAGGCATTTTCATAGTCATCCAAAGTGCCTAAAATTGTGAAAAATGTTTCAAAGTCGTGCGAATTTTCAGAGTTTCTTTTGGAGTCGAGATCGAACTTGAAATAATGTTGCATTGGTTTCCAATTTGATCAATTCTTTTATTGGTTTTGAGTCCTGTTCATTCTAAATGAGCGATAACTTTGTATTAACCATCAAATAATTAAAGGAAAGAGAATGAGATTTAGAGTGAGGGGAAATACAAAATACCTGTGGAGATGGAGGATAAAGTGAGGGACGGTTTGTGTAGATGGAAGAGAAACCGTTTTTTCATTATTCTTCAGCGTTGAGTGAGGATGTGTAGATGGAAGAGAAACAGTTTTTCATATAAATGTGCCTTGAATGCGGAAAGCAATTCATAAGTTTTGGGAAAAGAAGAAAGGTTGCGTAATGCTAAAACCATTCACGTGGAAGATTATGGATTAATAAGCGTAATTAGGGGTTTTTAAGAACGCCTAATTTTCTTATATGATAGATTTGTAAGACAAAAACGCTACACTATTTGGTTTTTGAAAATCAGTATGGTGCCATGACATTATAGAGAAAATAAGAAAAAGTGGTTGCGTTGAAACTTTAAAATATCCTACTATATTATGTTCGAAGCAAACAATTGTAGCATGTAATCAAGTGAGGTTGAATATATATCAGATTCAATGTAGAACATGTGAACCACTATATCCATCAATCCGGAAGTATTTTGCAACAAAACCCAGGATTCGGTGTAGAATCTCAACGGTATAACTATAAGGGTCATCAATGAAAGAAGAAGAAAAAATGAAAGAGGTGGGAGTAATTTTAAACAACAAACTATATGAATTAACGGAAAACAGAACGTTTTCATTAATAAATGATACTACACAGAAATTTCAGAGATTTTAAAACTACATTGATTGTGATAAGTTGAACATTTCTCCTAATCTAATATACCATCACAACATAAAGAGAAAACAAAACCTAACATAACCATCTAAGCCTTCTTTGGAGATTTCTTTGCCTTTGATGGAGACTTGGGAGTACTAGCAGCAGCATTTTCATTCCTCTTGGGCAAAAGTACAGGGTTAATGTTAGGAAGAACACCACCATGAGCAATAGTAACACCAGCAAGCAATTTTCCAAGCTCTACATCATTCCTCACAGCTAACAACAAATGTCTTGGATTAATCCTATTCTTCTTGTTGTCGCGTGCAGCATTTCCAGCCAACTCAAGAACCTTCACATAAACAAAATTTCAAAAATTAGAATCTCAAATTCGGAATCGCTAATAGAACACAAATTGAAATTGAAATTTACCTCAGCAGCAAGATATTCAAGAACAGCGGCCAAGTAGACAGGAGCACCAGTACCAACACGCTGAGCATATCTACCTTTCTTCAAGAAACGACCGATTCTACCAACCGGGAACTGAAGACCAGCTCTGACGGATTTAGTCACGGACTTCTTTCTTGGTCCTCCTCCTTTCCTACCGCCGGCTCCTTTCTTTGCCTGTTTGCTTGCGTCCATTGTGATGAGATTTAGTTGAGAGATTCTCAGAAGAATGAAGTGATGAATTCAGAAGAGGGAAGATGGTTTGAGCTGAGTTACGTTAGCGTGCTTTTATTGAGTCTCTCGGTGCTGTAAGAATGGGAGTCAAGGAAATACTAAACGTTGGATTGAAGATATCTACGGCTGTGAGTTGTTTTAATTCGCGATCCGTGCGCTTTTAAATAGACCAATAGGAAGCCACTACATAATATCCTCTTTCATCTGTTTGAAGGAAGCAAGGAGTAAATAAAGATAGTAACAAATGTATAAAAACAAAACATATTTTTTTCGTAGTTTATTCGTTATAGGTTTCAATTAAATATTGAGAGTAAAATAAATTAGAAAATTAATTTAATGTAAAAGGCTAATGAAATGGATTAATAGTCACACTTTTTTTTAAAAATTGATTACTTATAAAATGAGTTAAGGGGATAATGGTGAATAGAATGAGAAAAAATCTTATATGTGGAGTCATTATAAAATTAAGTAGTTTATTCTTTTAAAAAAATATTTAATAAAAATTTAATTAATTAATCAATTGAAAACTCGTTGTATGCACGATTTTGTGTTTTGTAATTATTTTTTATAATAAAGATTATATAAAATTGTTGTATAATTGTAATATACTGTTTAAATCTAATATTTCATGAGTATAAAACTTACTTGAATTGACTTGAGAGAATGGGGAGATTGAGATTATGATTGTTAGATCACTGTTTAACATCCCTTCTAATCTTTGATTTTTACTTCTATAATAAATTATCCACTCTTTCTTTCTTTCTTTATTTTCTGAAGCGGTTCCTCTTCCTACTTGCAAGGAAAATGTTGAAACACCAAAATCTCCAAAGCTTTTATGCGGGTGGTTAACAATGTTTGTAATATTCCATTAAGTCAACTTTCCACCCCGTGTGTCAAGGGATAGAATTGCTATAACCATTCTAGAAGACGAATATCAACTAGGGCTCGTGTCGTGCAAACATAACCTCCATGGTCGTATTATATGGCTAAAGGGCTCTACTCCCCTCACAGTTGCAAGCTTGCAATCCAAGCTTAATGAACAATGGACTATAATTTGAAAATGGGGTTTAACATCGTTGGGTAAGGGCTTCTTTGAGTTCTCCTTTTTGAACATTGAAGACGTCATTACTGTTAGGTCTGTATCTTCTTGGAATCTCAATTCGGGTACGCTCAAACTTTTTACTTTGACTAAAGATTTCATTCCTTCAAACTTAAATCAGACCTTAGCACAAGCCTGGATTCGTATTCATGGCTTGTCACAAGAATATTGGCGGCCAAAAATTCTTTTTCATTGCAAGTAGCATTGGTACTCATATATGTATAAATTATGCCGCTAGTAAACCATCTTTTGACATACCTTTTGGGCACTATGTTAGGGCTCTTGTTGATCTGGATCTTTTGAAAGAGATAACTTATAAAGTTTTAGTGGAAAGGGCTGGCTTTGCTTTTTTTGTTGAGGTGGAATATGAAAAGCTCCCTGAATTATGCAACTATTGCAACTGCATAGGACATGCCTATGAAAACTGTAAAATAAAAGCTTGGAAAGATACGAACAATGGAATTAACAAAGCCAAAGATGAGCAGAAGAAGACTAATGTCGAAAATAAAAAAGGTACTGAAGAAATAAAGGTAATAGGAAATTGTTAAGACAACAAGCAACTCAAACAAAAGGAGATTGGGAAAACAAGTGGAGCCCAAAAGGTGATTAGTGATACTAGTGAAGCACATAAAAACAAACAACTTACCACTTTCAATTATGAACCATAAAAGATGTCTCCTGATTCGGATTCAGAATCGGAATTTGTAGATGTATCTCATGAAGATGAAAAAGTGGATGATACTCAACTTTAACTACAAGGAGTTGATCTAAAAATTCAAGAATTCTTAGTTGATTCTTAGGCCAATATGGCTGATCAGGATGTCAATCATTGCCTTGAAGGATTCAAACTTGTTACTTCCAAAAAGAAAAAGAAAAATTCCATGAGTCAGTACTCAATTAGGTCTAAACCTAGTGCCCCTAAACTTTCCTTATGAACAACCTTTTTTGGAATATAAGAGGTATTGTTAATGCCTCTTCCAGACTTTCCCCTAAAAGGCTTATTAATTTTAACAAACCTGACTTGGTCTTTATAGCTGAGCCATGGATGGATTTCTATCATTTTCCCTCTAATTGGCTTAAGAAGCTTCACCTTAAGATGTTTACCATGAATGTTAGGCATGATTTGTGGCCCAACCTGTGGTGTTTTTGTAAGAATGATTTAAACCATGTTGTTCTTATGATTGATGCTCAACACATCTCTTTCATTATTGAGAGCAACAATTTAGTACTTGGTTTTTCTGTTATTTGTGCTTCTACTTATTACATCACCATAAGGAATTTGTGGAACGCTCTTGTTCTTTTTTATCTATGACACTCCTTGGATTTTCATTGGTGACTTTAATTCCATTTTAGAAGTTGAGGAGTACAATGAAGCTAACAACCCAACCTCTACTCCAATGAAAGATTTCCATGCTTAGTATGACTCTAATCATCTCATTCATTTGCCCATAATGAGCAACCAAATCACCTGAAATAATGGAAAGAATGGAAGCAAACACACAAAGAAGAGGCTTGATAAAGTTATTTGTAAATTCAAATGGTTGGACTTTTGCTTCTTTACTTCTTATCACACTTTGCTCAAAAGCCGCTCTGATCACTATCCTCTTCTTCTTAATTTTAATTTTATATGTTAAGTTTATCTCTCAATTTAAGTTCATGCAGATATGGAATAATCACAATGACTGTAGGAACTTAATATCTCAAACTTGGAACACCAAAATCTACGGCTGCCCTATGTACATTTTGGACAAGAAGCTCATAATTCTTAAAGTTGCTCATTCTTCAATACTGTCGAGGAAGGTGTGAAATAAACTACCTGGATAGAAAAGGCAAGAAACACATAAGATTCCATCGCTTCCTCATAGTGCGAGTATGAAGAGAGTGCAAAACGTCTCCAAGCAATGTAGGCACAGGGTTACGAGTAAGGAAAACTTTGACAGCATTCACATTTATCGGAAAAATAGTCATGTCCCTCGAACATGGGTGTTTTAGCAAAAGACCCTCGATAAAAGATCGTAGTCCCTCGATGACCCTCGATGTTGCCTTCGGTAAACGACCTAGTCCCTAAATGACATTTCTAAAACGTCCCATAGGTTGCCTTCTATGACTATATAAACGTCCCACGCCCGTCCCTTCACATCCAACGATGAGACTTCTAACCATGGTAAGATAACAACATCTAAAGGAGGAGGAAAAGAACATTTGAGATCTTTTGAGTAGGTAGATTCGCTCCTAGTTGCTTGCTTGCTCACAACAAAAAAATTCTATACACCAACACTCTCACTTTGAAACATTTTCAAAATACAACACTTTGTATGCGTTCTTATAGATACGAGAATCGTTACAAAGACACCTTTTCAAAACCACTTTCAAAAAACACCAACACCCTCAACTTGAAAACATTTTCAAAAGATCAAACATCTTTGTATACATTCTTACGAACGAGAATCATTACAAAGATTGCCTAAACGATAGCCTCTTTACAAAATACTTTCAAAAACTACACAAAGTACAATTTCAAACAAAAAGCAAGTGATATAGCAAGTAACTAAGAACCCATGGAAAACCATGGATGAAAAGGGTGCTAATACCTTCCCTTTTCATAATCTACCCCCCCGAACTCAAGAAACAATCTCAAAAGGTCTTTCCTGTGCTTTTTCACCTTTCCTTAAAAGAAAAGTCGGTGGTGACTCTTGCTAACCGCAAAATTTACGGTCAAACACAAAACCTTCAAGTAAGTTCTCCCACCGTATCACATAACTAGTGACTCTGTTGGGGAAAACTCTAAAAGTGTGGTTACCTTAGGGATATATCACATTTACTTACTTACATTGTTTGACTTGTATGCTTTACATTATGGTTCTTTGTTTGGGTTACTGTTAAAAATCCTACACCCAGATTTGGGGAACACCTTTTAGGTAAGTAGCAATAAACTGTGAGGGAACTGTGTGGGGTATACCGACACGGTTGAAGTAGTAACTATGTTGATGTGGCACTTTGATTGGTATCGATAACCCTTGAGTCAATCAAGGAGAGTATGGGGCCGCCACGTGGTGTCGTGAAGCATCAACTGACCTTAGAGCCTTTAAATTGCACAACTTGGCCAATAGGACGTAGCGAGGTAGCCGACCCTGGTGTATTCCCAAGGTCGACATATACTTGATGCTACACTCATTGAGGTTTGACTCTTGAGCTTTGTTTGGTTGCGAGTCAATCGCCTATTGAACGAAGCTTGGGGAAAGATCAATGATATTGAGATCCTTTAGAATCCGGTTACTATTTATAGGACATGTTGAACCAATCCAACTTCAATAGGGTATTTACCTACAAACTCCATACAAGCCTAAACCTAAGGACTTGTCTGCTTTATGTGAATATGATTATTTGTATATAAACTTGCTTATTTTGCATACTTGTACATAACATCATGAAGTCATACCATAGCATTGAACCATAGCATTTCAAGGATCTCAAGGGTCTTTGATGCAGGGTCACGTTGAACCAGACGTCTATCGTGGGGCAGGAGGATTTATTTTCCTTTAACCAAACGCCTTCGAAGATCAAGTACAACAATTTTAGTCAAGGGATACCACCCACTTGGCATGGTGAGCTTAATGCTCGTGGAAGGACATCCACTGATACAAAGTTCTCCAATCAAAGTTGTTGATCAAAGTCCAACTTCTAATCTTTTTTCTTGTGTTTACTCCACGAGATCCTTGAAAACATGCATCCATATATCATGCATAATATCATGGCAGATTTCTCCCATACAGGTCTCCTTATCTTCCTACTGTTTGTTTCAAAAAGATGGATATGGAACAAACGATGAAAGATCTCCAAGCTCAAAACGCTCAATTCCAAT